GCTAAACAGAAAGCTAATATTCCTCTCTTCACAATAAGGTTCGCCTCCAAAACTTTCTTTAGCTTTGGTGAAACTCTTCTTTGTAACAAACCTTAAATCTCAATAAAGCATAAGTATAGGACATTGCTACTTTGTTTTCTTCATGTGGACATTCAACTACTCAGCAAGGTCTTCTTGCCACTGTGCCATTACCAACTTTTGGTTAGTGTATGTGGTACAAGATTGGTGATCAGATTCACCATTTTAAATGTGTAATATGTAAAATATAAGATTATACAAACAATAAAATACATTATCTAATTAATCTTTTTGCCTCCTTATAATAACTTATAGATAACCATGAAGTTATCACACAGGTGAAGCAGAGAGCAGAAACTCWGGCTGCTTTCTCTGCAAGAGAATTCCGCAGAAGAGGCAGAATGGTTTTGTGGCAACATTGCTAAAGTAAGATTCCGWAAGCGATTTGAGATCACTCGGGAACGAAGGCAATGCAAATAAGGTCTCTGGAGCGAGTTCTAAAGTCATTCGGCTGCAGCATTTGCAGAACCATAAAGGAGTTGGTGGACATACTTGCATTGAGACACAACACCTCTCAAGCTCGTGACTTTGATCACATCTCTSTTTGTCTTTGCTCTTCTTCTTGTTTTGGTGCGGAGATTGACAAAAAGCTTCTTCTGGTGAGTGGAAATGGACAGGCGCGGCGCAATATGGGCATTTCTCTTCCTCTAATGCGATTTCTGTGCTGTTACTTGATCTGATGAATTAGAAACATAGAAGTTATGAATCTGAAACATTCTAGTCTCTATTACAAAAGGAAGAAGCATACATGTTACCCAAGTACCTTGTTAGACTAGATTTTACTTCCGCGGAAAGTGTTTCAAGCTGACTAGGGACAATATCGTGATTTATCTCAACCCATTGTTGCAACTGAGCCAATCCAGTTGGACGCCAACTCCCAGTGGAAGAGAAAACAGTACCTGGAGATGACTCAGTGCTTAGATAAGCCGAGAAACTGAGACCAATCAGTCTCTCTCGGAGTTCTCTTTCGCTTTCCTCAAGCAGTTTGAGCCACAGATCAATCTCTTCTTCATTGTTCGTTCTTTGACCTTGCAATTTTCTGTTGATTTCCTCCCTTTTGAGCTCTGATAACATTACACGTCTGGAGATTACATTGAGAATGTGTAAGTAATAGCCTGTAAGGAACAGTAGAGAAGCGTTTGGAGATCTTCGGCACAAGATCTTCCATGGGGATATCATCATGAAATCCAAGGTATGACACAGAGAGCCATTTGGTTAATACCAATTCAACAAACTCTGGCATTGATTGCTTGAACGCCAACATTGCAGCTACCATATCCCATAGAACTAGAAGCTTATTTAAATCGTTAAATTTTTTCAACGACCAGAGCAAATTCGATTCCCAGTATGCGAATTCATTCTTGGAGAAACCCAGAATAGCTTCCGTTATTGTCTCTGAAGAATCTTCTGACTCACCGGATTGTTGTGCACCATTCCAGAGGAATTCTAGAGCAGCCTTCTGCGATCTGAAGGCAAGAAGGAACAAACAGTCAAGTTATGTAACGAGAAAGACACAGAAATGTTTGTTAATCACCTGGCTTGGTACATCGGGTTCAAGAGTTCAACGTTAAAGCTGCGGACCTGCAAAGTTTCAAGAGATGTCTTAGTTTCCTAATTCTGAAAAAACTTGATAGCTTACAGTCACAGGAAACCAGTTGCCGGGGAAGATCATACCAAAGCAACAGCAAGGTTTCCAGGGGACAATGCCACACCAAGGCATGATAGAAAATCATCAGGAAGCTGCATAAATGTTTTCATTGTTCGTAAAGATAAATCAGAGGAAGAGGGAAACAAAGAGACAAGATTAAACACATCATATAGTGACGTACATCAGTCGTGCTATTGAGACCAGGAGTGTTTGCAGGAATTGGCACTTCAGAGATGCTATTCTCACATAAAATCCAGTTCCGGACATAATTATCCTTGAATATTTCAAAAGAGTTAATGCAACCTATATAGCTAAAAAAGAAAATACAGTGATAGATCACAATGTAGCTTATAGCTCAGTTTGTGTTCAAAAGATATCGCTTTTGTTTGTCAAACAGAAGACAACCAATATAGAAGCTGGTCCTACAGACAAGAAATATTTACCTGACTGCAACTGTACAAACAACGGCAACCATATGACCAAGCTAAACCCGTAACCTAAAAGACATTAACATATATACTAATAAATCCAACATGTATATTGCATTTTATAAAAGGTTCCAGTAAAAGAATAAAGACTTACTACTTGGTCATGAGCATTAGTTGAAGCAACTTGTTCAAACTTTCTGCTAAATATGTCACACTTCCAGACTTCGAAGGAACCAGATCCTTTGCCAATTGCCAAGTTCATTGCATTCGAAACATTGTTTACAGCAAATGAAAGCGTTGAAACCGGAATAGGATTTACCGTTACAACCTATAGAAAGAAGAAAAGTGTCAACACATAGAACTTTTAGTGTTTGCTTGATGAAAAAGCCTTGTACATTTGAATAGATGGTAATTACACTAAAAAGGGGCAAAACTTGATAGTTCTGTAAACTAGGAAACGGAAAAGTATAGCGGGATGATTAAAAAGTTCAGAAGCATATGGATCTATAGACAAAATATAATATGAATCCATCACAGAAAACTACAGTAGGATCACACAAGTCAAGGATGTTCCAACTACAATACAATCACTCAGAAATCACAAAAAGCAATACCCATTGTGTTCCTAATCAGAATACCAGACAAAGTAGAACACATTAAGAAGAAGAAAACAATTACCTCTTTCAACAGAAAAAATGAAGATTTATAGACCTCAACAGATTTTTGCACGTCTTCTTTGTCGCTCATCCAAATCTTTACACTACAAAACGTGTGGAAAGTAATGGACTGAGAATGCTATCACGAGGGTTTCTATTGAGAAACCTATCCAAATGAAAAGACATTACAATGACATTAAAATTTCTTATTTCCAAGAGTGAGAGTTTCAAAGAAATTCTAAGACATATCCAATTACTGACAGCATTTTTTGTCATGGTTTGCAATACATTTTTTTGTTTCTTGTAATATAACACTAACTTACCTACCATCGCAACTCCCAGTAACCAACACCACTTGCTGATTCGAAGAATCACAGCCAAAAATTCCCCAACTCATCGTTGAAACCCATGAGCTATGGGCCTGAATTATAGCAGTAAGTTTCACGATGGGAGTTACATTGCTGCGTTCAATGTTATAGCATTCTGGTGCATGAACTTTCCATATGGAAACACAGCCGGACTTTGAACCAATTGCCAAAAGAGAGAATCTCAACATTTTCTCACAAGAAGAACCTTCTGATGAGAATGTTAGTAGAGATGACCAGGCGACAGAAAGAGAGGATAATAATGCCTCACGAGAAACATATTTTTCTGGACTTATCTCTTGACTGCAATTTTTTGACGTTTTAGGCAAATGGTCGGCATTGCTTGCCTGTTCATATGCTTCAATATCAAGTACCTAGGAACAAAATGAATCGAATTAGATATGAGTACAATGCAACAATTTGATTCTGACTAGATGACACTTGAGAGTGAGAGTGTCAAAACTTCTAGGAACCATATGGTGTGAACAATGCACATAAAGGGTCCAGGTTGAATTCAAAAGCATGACAAGAATCAAGATGCATCAAATCAATAGCAAAAAAATTTAAATCCACAAATGTAGTGTTGAAAAGAATAGTGGAGGGAGTTGCAAAATATACTCAAGATATTAGTTTTCTGGATGAAATGTCCTTGATTCCTATTATACTAATTCTAGCAAAAACTAAAAAAGTTTCCGCACAAGCGAAGGATAAGATTCAATCTGCAGGAAAAGAGTTAGAATCTGAATTTTATTTCAGAAAATATCAAAAAGAGAGCAACATAAATAAGTTGGAGGAATCAAGATAGAGTTTTACCAAAGCATCAAAAAAAAAGAGAAAAAGAAGCTAGTGAAGAGAAATAAGGCAGTACATTATGCCCCGTTTGACTGTCTTGCTTGGAACATGATGCTTTATCTGTAAAACTCTTTTCATGCAAGATTCTAGATCGTAGTCACAGATAAAAGAAAGTTAGTAAATTGATCAAAACAGAAAACAAATATATGAGAAAAGCATTTCTCAAACCAGAAGTAGTATGTATCTG